ATCTCCTGGATGATTGTAGCTCAGATCCAGCTCTCTCAGGTGTGAGGGGTTTGAAGTCAGAGCTGAAGACAGAAAACCACAGCCTTTCTCTGTCACCATACAGCCAGACAATCTACAAACACAGCAATAGTCCACATCACACAGTTGGACAATCACACATCTCTTTGTGTTGTGAAGATGCTGACTGCTGTTTCTGCTCATGTCAACAGCTGTGATGAACCAAGACACTTCTTCATGAGACTTTTATATGTTTTCAGGAAAACTGCAAACTGTACAAACATCAGAGCAGGTCAGAACCTCACCAGGGCCCAAAACCCAACAGACCCCACAGGATTAACTTTGTCTTCATCACTGTTATTTATTTATTGCCAGAATATTTGACAAATTCTTAAATAAACCTTTCCAATAAACAAATGCAAATATAAATAATAATATAATATGTATAAATAATAATATAATATATAATAAAAATATAATATGAACATGTAAAATATGAGTACAGAATTTATAGACAATTTATCTACATATTCTTTAAATACAGTCCTATATACGTCAATTAGAAAAAGTATTTTACACAATTTTTATTTTATTTTACTCGGTAATGCTTTTAAATGTATTTGTATGCATGCATTTGTATAGATATAAATAAAATAATTAATAATAAATAGTAATCTGCCAAAACACTGAGTGGGGAAAGGGGCTTCTATATTTGTTAAACCAGTACGTAACTGTCTTTTTGGAGTTGCTGTTGAGTGGAGAATCATTTACCTCAGTGTGTCCAGTTTACAGTGTTGACTCTTCAGTCCATCAGAGAGCTTCTTCACTCCTGAATCCTGCAGGTCATTGTTACTCAGGTCCAGCTCTCTCAGCACACAGTTTGAGGATTGTAGAGCTGAAGACAAACTCTCACAGCACTGAACAGTGAGATTACACATGACCAATCTGAGAAAGAAGAACACAGATTACATTAACAGTGTGATTTCAGTCATTCATCTGATGTAAAAAATAAAATAAAATAAATAGAAACAAATCAATAAATCAGGTGTTTAAACTCAGACCTCAGTGTCTCCAGTTTACAGTGTTGACTCTTCAGTCCATCAGAGAGCTTCTTCACTCCTGAATCCTGCAGGTCATTGTAACTCAGGTCCAGCTCTCTCAGCACACAGTTTGAGGATTGTAGAGCTGAAGACAAACTCTCACAGCACTGAACAGTGAGTTTACAGCTCTGTAGTCTGTGTAGAGGACAAACACAGTATTTATGTGGTCATCTGGGACCTCATTGATTAACAATGCTTACTCATGAAAAGGACACCAGATTTCCCCCTTATGGTTGTATGTACTAACAGTAGTGTAGGACGATGTACCGATATTATAAAAGCATAGCGATACCCTAGCACTTAAAACAATAACAT